GCAAGTAGGGTTTTTTTTATTTACTCATTAACAGCAAGTCCAGAGAGCGTATAGTCTGAAATTATTTTTATTGAATAATGAAAGAGTACATGACTGATCTATGAGACCAAGAAAATCTAAGATTACATGCATACTATGTGAAAAAGTATACATACTGATTTGTTGAAAAAAAATTCTTCCTTAATTCATTTCTATACTTGTGGGTCAATTTTTGCATAGGAATCTCCAACTGTATTTATTTTCCAATTTTTACATTTTGTCTACTATCCTCTAATTTCCTCTTCACCTCTTTATTTCTCTTAACTTTGTCTGTCCATTACATGCATGGCCCCTGAATCTTCTTCCACTCATTTTCATTTCCAATAATCTTTTTAACATTCTATGCTCGCCCAATCTTTTAACATGTCCAAACCATCTCACTCTACTTTCCTGAATTTTGTTCTGTATTTCCTCCACCTTGAACTATTCTCTAATGTACGTGCTTCTGATTCTCTCTCCCCCCCTGTTTTGCCTACTGTTACCCTCAGGAATCTAATCTCTGTTGCAAACTAAAATGAAATGTGTTTAATTAAAAATAAAAGCATTTGTCAGTTATATAAATCATGCATACAAACAAAACTGTTTACACATTAAATAACACTTTGTGCCAAACGTGTCTCGACCTCAAGAGGTAGTCATCAGTGACAAAAACATTAATTCATTAGTCTGTGTTTGCCACTGATGATGACTTCTTGAGGTCGAAACGTGTTTGGCACAAAGTGTTATTTAATGAATAAACAGTTTTGTTTGTATGCATGATTTATATGTCAATACACTGCACGGTATGCAAGGTTTTAAGATTTGTCAGTTACCAAGAGCAGTCAGATTATTTATACTGTGAGGTATGAAATGCATTCATATGCAAATTAAGAACTGGTTTCTATTGACCAAATTTTATGCAGTCACGACGTAGAGAACAGAAATTTTGCATCTCTGTTTTGTATATGTGGGTCTGTGCATATTGCCTTTGATTGTGTGATATGCTTTGCAGATTTTTTCCGCTATTCTGAGATTCATTGAACTTCAGACTTTCTCAGACATGTTCTATGCTTTTATTATGGGTGTTTCTCGGAGCAGTTAATCAATGTTGATGCTTCACTTTTGCTCTGTTTCATAAATCTTTCTCCATTTGAGAAGGCAAAGGCTAATTAAAAATTCTTCACTTGCTAAAATTTTCCAATCAATCCATTTTCTAAGCTGAAATTAAGAGCTGTTGTTGATTTTATCTTATTTTCAAAAAATTAATATATGGAGACAACTATTTTACCATATGTTTTGTATGCCTATGAAACATGGTGTCTTACATGAATTGAAACAACATGATAACAAAGTAAATGAAGAAAGTTTATGTAATATTGTTAGTGTAGTCAAATGAAAGAGGTTATGGTGGACTGGACTTGTAACTAGGATAAAGAAACAAAAGTTCATAGAAAGTGGCTACTAGGAAGGCTGAGGAGATGATGGGAGGATAATATTAGAACAAAATTAGAAAATTAGATTGTGATTATGTAAAATGATTCAGCTGTCTCACGATAATGTTTAGTGGCAGGTTTTAGTTTTTGCAGTGCTCGTCATTGAGGTTATAATACCAGAGAATTAAGTTCGTTATGTTTGTAACTCTGAAAAGGAAATATGAAAAACAAAAGTGGAGTTTCAACAACTGATTCAGAAAATGCTTGGTATTTCTTAATATTGGACATTGAGAGAATTGACGTATTATTGATATAGTGGAATTCAGAGCTCCTTTCTGAAATGTGGGCCTACAAGGTTCACATTATTATTTTAATCACTAGGTATCATTATCAACATCAAATTAGGAAGTCTTATGAAATTAATTGTTATATGGTATGTTTGTATTTCAGTGTTAGCATTATTATTGTAAAATATTTAATGTTTTGTTGTTACCCATTTTCTGGAACATGTCTGAATTCAGTAATGTATTCAGGTAACACAACTTTAAACACATTGAATTGAAAGTTATGTTGTTACATAACATATGTAGGAAATGTTAAACTGTTATGTTAATTGGCATGCATAATGTTGGTGTTGGATCTGCCTGCTTGAAGTATCTGTGCTTCCGTTGGTGTTGGATATATTACATTGGTTGAGGCAAATATTAACAAAAAGCATGTCTGCTCGTGGGGAAACATGTAGGAATTATAATGGCCTGTGTAACTCCTAAATAAATATATCTTTTAGGTTATGTCTTCTAGAGAATTTGCCTTTGAGTAAGTTAAGACTCCCTGAGAAATATTATTTAATTTATAAACTATTTGTGCACCATCTGTTCCAAAGTTGAAAGGGAGGTTATGTAAGGCAAGCTGCAATTGATTGGACATGAAATTGTCATAACCTGTTGCAGCTTTTATGTTATCCTTATACTGTATATTATTGATCTGTTTGTAACATGATAACACTGGCATCTGAGAATTTCATATTTTATACGGGAAAAACATTGCTTAGTCACTTTGTAAAAGTATATGAGAAAATCATAAATCTAAGTTGAGAAGACGGATGGAATATAAAATTAAAGATGAAATTTAGGTTTCAGAGACAACAGGTAAACAATTAATGTAATTTTCATACTTACTTGTATTTATATTTAAACAGCATTTATATTAACAAACAGGAGATTTCAAAAGCATTAATCAGATGAAATGTTTTCAAAGGACTAATGCATAAAATAAAGAATAACTATGTCAGATGTGAAAAAAGTATGGTTGCCAATGACAAAAAATTCTAGAAATTTCCAAATGCTTAAAGGGGATAGATAAAAGAAGGTGTTTTGTATCCTCTGCTTTTCGGCATGGAAGTAGATCATATTATATAAAAAGCAACAGAACAGAAAAGGGGATTACAAAAAATTATGGTATATGCAGTTGAATAGTAAAAAGGAATGCACAGAATGAAAGCGCTTTGGAGAAAAATATTTTGTATTAAGTTTTCAATTTAGATAAATGTGTGGTTCTGATAATAAGTCAGAAGACAGGAAGCATGGGAAAAATAAAATATAATAATCATAAAATAAAAAAATCTTTATGTACATGGAATTGTTAAATAAGTTACAGAAAGTAGGATTTGAGGTTTCCACAGGAGTAAGTCTGAAGATGGCTGTCTTCTGTTTTGTTGCACTGTGTAATCTGGTAGATGTTTACTGACGTTTCAGAGGTACCTGCTGCCTCCTTCATTGCCCTGATGGCGGAGGCAGCAAGGATCTCTCAAACATTGGTAAATGTCTACCAGATTACACGGTGCAACAACCCAGAAGACAGCCATCTTAAGTTACAGAAAGTGTAAAGATTATGGATGATTTTACCAATTAGTAAGGGAGATAATATTCTGTAAATAGGGACTGCTGCTAGATATAAATTTAATTGTTCATATAAAGAGTTTTGAACGCCAAATGAGAAGAACTGTGCAGAAATGCACCACCTAAATAAATAATTTGCCCTTGTGACATGCTATTTTAATATGCACTGAAGTAGTGAAAGAACAATTAAACATATAACATTTTAAATTTAGGTAGATCAAAGAGTAAACAAACATTTAATACAAGATTGCATATAACACATCTACAAAGAAGTTAAGAACAACATTTTTAGTATTTTACTACTGGAATTATGGAAATCGTTGTGTAAAGTTGCTCAGGAAGTTTTGGGTAGAAATAAATTATCTAAATAAATAATTTTTATTCCTTCTGTAGCTCTCGGAAAGTATAAAGTATAGTATAATAGGAGTAACAAAATAAATTAGAAGGCACATGAGAGATTTCACAACCGGTCATTCTTACTGGCTCTTATAAAATGGAGTAAATCATAATTTTTGCCATCTCCACCCTCATCTTCATTAAAATTTACTGTGTATACCTTTGTTTTATAGCATGATTTTGGAGGCTATTTCATTTAAATGATGTGGTGAAAGGGTTTGCTGAAGCCTGTGTCTTCCTGATGAATCACATAGTGTAGCTGAAGTCTATGTTTGTTAGTGGGTTAACTGCCTTAGTTCTGTCCTTCAGTAGTGCAATATGAAAATCTTACAGATTTATTCTATGTGAAGCTGTTATTTTGAAATGCTTTATAACTCTGTATCATAACAGATTATTTCACCTGGAAATTTATGGAAGATCAGACAAGAACCCATCATTT